TTTGTTTTTGTCATATTTATTAGCTTTTTTTTTTTTGTCTATTTTCTTTGTTTCTGTGTTTTTGTTATTTTAGCTCCGATATTAGTTGAGCTGGCAGCCGCAGTTTTCTCTGTGTTTGGGAACGCGTCCTAATATAATATACGAAGAACATTCAGGTACGAATATATTTTTTTTTACAAAATATATATCAATGCCAATAACATATAAATATAAATATAATATATATACAATAACAAGGTTCTGACCACATTTCCCACATTCACCAATATCACCAGAACACAATATGCAACCATACACGCGACCATGAAATACAGTGTACAAAATCATTCTCTTTGACCACTATGACATAAACCGTATGGCATACACAGCCTATAAATTCTCCTCACTGACCACAATGATACAATAAAATCTTGACAACAAGTGTCAAGCAATCAAAAACCATGAAAAGAAAAATTAACTTACGTAAAACAATACAATTGTCTTGATCCCTCGACGCTTGCCACTTGTCCACTGCTTGTACGCCGCTCGGTTGCTGTGAAACTATATGTCCCTTGTCCGTTGCTCCTTTTGCGATGTGCCCCGTATAATGTCCAATGTTCAAATGTTGTATGATGAATGACCCATATCGATACCGGTGCACGAATTCATATCAGCACAGTTCTCGTGATTACGTTGTCCTTCCATTGTGCCACATTATGACTATCAGCCATAACTCTCAGATCGTGATGAAAATGTTCGTAGAAATCCTCTGTCATTGGAAGAAAGTCATACTCAAGGTGTCGACGAAATGTTGTTCACGATGAAACAATGTTCCGTTGTTCCGTTGTCGATGTGCCGCGTGTAACATCCAATGTCCAAATGTTGTATGACGATCACAGCAGCACGGTTTTCGTGATTACGTTGTCATTCCACTGCGCTGCATTATGGTGATAGAAGTTGCTGTGCTGATGGCAGCTGTCTGAATAGTAATTGTCAGTGACGAATGTGTTTGTATGACCATCAGCCATAACTCACAAATTACGATGAAAATGTACGTAGAATCTCTCTGTCGTTGGATGAAATGTCCTTCATGATGATTTATCCCATGTGATTTGCGATGTATCTGTGTTCGTCGATGTTGCTGAAGGTCTCCGGCCTCTCTCCATTTGCTTCTCCATTCCGCGAACAACATGAAAAAACCAGTAAAACAAATCGTAGTTCTGCCCATCATCCTTATCATACAAATAAAATAACCATGTGAACACACATCTTGCACTATATGATTTCATGCGTGCACTACGTTAGAATGATTAGTATGTTAGACCACTTGTAGCATAAATTTACCAAAATTTAAAAATATAGCTTGATATTGGTATAGCACACAAGCCGCCGGGTGGGCTAGCGTAATTAAGTGATGGTAAGGAAGCGTGACAGGCATAGTGAGCTCACCAGTGTGGCCCGGAGACTGCAGCAGAGGCGAACGAGAATGTACGTGTAGCAAGTGACGCGCCGCCGGGTTGAGCGATTTCTCCAGACAGGCCAATGATGCGTACAGCTGCTGACCCTGAATAACAGAATGATAATTATTAAAGCATCAACGCGATTACCCACTGATACGATACGTACCGCATCGATACAATTACACAACAACATGATACATATACAACATTGACACAATTACACACTGACACAATAAATAGCTACAGATAAAACCTCAGTGCTTTTGCACAGCTTTGACAAAAGCCTAAAATTATCTCCCTGGCACCAAGAACCTGGCAGAAGCCACAAAGAAAAAGCAGAACACGATGACGATGAATAAGTTCGTTCATTAGCAGTACCTGTTGCTGTTGGTGCGGGAAACCAGATTCTCAGAACCGAAGTTCCGTCTGCTGAAAATAAAAATAAAAACATTTTTTCATTCATTCGTCTTTTTTTCCGTTTCATTTTGATCAGTTCAGCTTTCGAGGTGAATATAATTGCCTCGGGGAAAGCAATGTAGAAATGACCTATTAGACGATGCTTACGTCTTTTCCGTAATAATAAAGAAAAGTGACAACAACTACCTGATCTAATACCAGCATGACACTGCCTGATCGAAGTCTCTAATAATTATTGTCCTTAAAACCTGCCAAGTGGAGCTGGTCGTTTCGTCTGCTGCATGTGTGCACGTGAAAGGAAGAAAAACACCACATAATAATACTATTATTAATAATAATAATAATAATAACAATAATAATAATAATAACAATAATATTTAATGTGAAATTCTAGATATATCGATTCAGACATTTTGGTCTGCAATGGAATGGTGAAACGTCTAGGTCATCAACAAAGTCTGCCGTCTGGACGTACTAGCTTATTTCCATATACCTACATTTCATACGATGACAAGTACTCAAGTTCCGTTACTCAAGTCCCGTAGTTTGCGATTTGTCCTCAGTGACTTCTTCGCTGACGTAAAATAATGGCTGAATAGAGTTCACCATTGTTATGTACTGCTTGGTGGAATAAACACGTTGTAGTGCATTTTTCGTAGCACGCCGATAGGACAGGAGCGGTAGTTCTGCGGGCTCCTAGCTATTCATATTTACAAGATAACGTAACCTTTGCGAAGTGAAAGTGGCAAAAAACGGGTTCTAGGAGTGAAAGGCGCCCTTGTATTGGTGCTGCTACAATTCCACACCTTACGGCATCTTCGTCTCTGTCACCCCATGTTGGGTTCCCATTCTTTTAATTCCTTCCTCTCTGATCAATTGCAAAATTAAAAGCTTTGTCTACTGCAATCTGCAGTGGTGATCTGTCTATTTGATCTTCCTCAGTCTTTGGTATAGTCCCTTGGACTTTATGAGAACGAAATATCTTTGAGATGAATAATTATTTTAGGTTTTTCATAAACATTTTGGGTTGAGTTTATTCTTAATCGTTATAAAGAATCACTAAGATAATCGCTATTCATCTGGTTATAATTTTACTTATAGTTATATTTATTGCTATATATATATATATACTTAGGGTTAGGGTTAGGGTTAGGGATAGTTAATTATTTGCCATGTTATGGTTAGGGTTATGGTTAGGATTATGGTTAGGGATATGGTTAGGATTATGGTAAGGGTTATGGTTAGGATTATGGTAAGGGTTAGGGTTATTATGATTATGGTTACACTTATGATACTGCTTATGGTTACGCTTATATACGCCTGTAATACCGTTTCATATACCATAAGTCTCGGCATTGCTAATAGCTAATTGCTATGTAATATTGTAGCCTACTATCTGCGCGCGATAGACGGCAACACGTCCTAATCCATTAGCAGCAGCAGCTTATCACGTACGATATCTTACGTGAGGCTGAACACTTCATTCATCTCCCCGTATATAATGGTTCTCGTTCTGCCACAAAACTGCAATGCCAGTTGGTATGCTTGCCCAGATTAAGCGTTTGCGGTTTTCTGTGGAAGCATGTGTGTGTGTGTGTGTGTGTGTGCATGCGTGCAAGTGCAAGTGCAAACGCGCGCGAGTACGTTGTAATAGATATTACAAGTTTAGATAGTAGGTATTACTTTCTAGACATTATAAATAACCAGAAGCCGTAACAAAACGAAACGTTTATTTTGCCTATACAACTATCATTGTCACACCCCAGTAGCTGCCTTCTACATCCAACTGTGATAATATCCCCTCCCATACGGTGGTTTCTGTAGATAACTGGAAGAAAGGTTATAAAACACGCTCTAATTTAATTCAATATCATTTTGACTATGAAAGTAGTATCCGTTATGGTAGTCTTACATACAGTGCAAAGTCCAAGTAACAAGGATGCTAAAACAGAGCATTCAGACATGTACGTATGACTCACGTTGGTGCAAGAGAGGTCAAGGTTTTGAATTGGGTGCCAGTAGTCCGAAGTAGTCCAATCGTCTAGGATCTGTCTTCTACATGCATCAGTCACGATGGTATCCATGCTTACGGTGGCTGTGGTCTACCAAAATAACATCGGTAGTAAATAAGCATATATTTTGTCATATATGGCACATGCACGAGCATACAAACATACGTACAACAGCGCATGTCTCTCTCTCTCTCTCTTTCCCTCACTTCTCTCCCTCACCTCTCTCCCTCACCTCTCTCCCTCTCCCTCCACTACGGGGAGCGTATCTTCGTTAAACTGCTGCCAATCAATGGAGAGGGACGACAGGCAGGCTTGATATGCCTTGTTGATCAGTGATGTAACCTGGGAGTCACCGAAAGCAACAGATGAGAGAAATCACGCTTGCTGAAAGAGATGGAGACCGAAAGATAGAGAGGATGGAGAGAAGAGCAAGGGGAGAACGGGAGGGGGAGAAAGAGAGAGAGAGAGAGGAAGAGGAGAAGAGAGCAAGATAGAGAGAGATCAAGACACAGAAAGAGAGAGAGAGACAGAGAGCTGAGACAGAGAGATATATTGTAGACAGAGACTCCCCGTCTTACAAGAAGTGTATAAAAATGTTAACACTTGATATTCACAAAGCACAAGAAAGTGTGACAGTGCCACAAGAATAAGATTTATTCAGGAAAGCTCCTGTAGTTAATAGAAATACACGTACGACAGTA